GGATACGGGGAGATTAGCCCCGCACCGCCCAATGTGTATATTTGTTGTATATATATTGTGTTTTTTAATTATTAAAATAAACGATATTGGCTTCCCAACATCAATATGAAAATATTTCCCGGAATGTCATCGATTCAAACCTGAAAAAAAAAAAGGTTAGGTTAGGAAGAACCATGTCCGTTAAATGTGCACTAACTCTATTTACCAAAAATAATCATTGATACCTCTGAATGTAAAATCGAATTATTTTAAGTATTCAGTACCTTACATAGACAACTGTTTGACTCGAAAGACGTCCACGAACTGCTGTATATTGAGTTGTGATCTAGCCAGTCAATGAAAATGTATTGTATATGTCTGTATATAAGATGATGAAAAATAATAAACACATTTAGATTTATGATAAAAATTAAAGTGACAATTATTACAACTACCAGTTATAGAGGATGTGGGATAATTAAATCCATCAACCTACTAACGGTATCTGCAATTGTTGGATAGATTGAAAGAATATAAGTATGTTGGAATTGAATGAGTCAAAAGTAAGTACTCCTGCTTAGTGAATCCAAAAGAGTGAGAAATTAGGTGACTTTATGCCTTCTACGGTCTACCACATCAATGCCTCGCACAAAACCGCAACAATACCTTGAAATGAGGCGCCTTTATGTGGGCGACAAGCGTAGTTAATATTTTGAACTAAAGTGTAACGCACTTGGGTAACAACACTGATATTATTAGTCATTGAACCAGTAATAATTATACTATGTCAACTTAATCATTCATTACAAATATAAAATGTTCAATGTATTACAAATTGCAACCAAGATTTTTAAATGACCTTTTCAGAGAAAACCAATTATAAGATTTTATTACATATTTCAATCATTTTTTGACCGTTATAACGTTAACTTAACATAACTTTGTAATAAAGTTTTCGGACCCTGTATGATATGTGTTTTTTGTCAGAAAAACCAAATTATGATTGTAATGAAACTAAATTTTTTCGTTTTTGTTTGAAAAAAAATCAACATTCAATCGATAATCAAATTACCAGTTATTTGCATATGGATATATTATAATATACGACTAAACTCATGACAATAATAAAGCCTAAAGGAGTATATCATTTGAATACCTACCCTCTTAACACACTATATAATGTAAAAAATTTTGGAGGTTTCTGACAATGCATTTTTTCAAATAACTCATCAAAGCTGTTGTGACTTCAGTTGAACGAATAAATACCTATATCTATTATATATATCATTATATATTATAATAAAGGTTTTCACCAATTAGATAAGGATTTAACATCATAAAGTTAAGCTTTGTATAGGTATATTTTAATAATAAAAACTTGAAAATTAAAACATAAAGAGTTAACATAACGTTATTTTATTATTTATTGTGTAATCGGAGAAATATTGTAACATTATAAGCAGAACCATTTTATATATTTTCTTTTTTTTTAATTATTTCTTGTTAGTAAAAATTGTTTATCGTTGCGTACAGATATACATTATACTGCTCTACATATTATTCTTTCCAACTTTCTTCTTAAAACAGTAACATATAGTTTAAAGTGTTTAATATTATTATCATACACTATACGAATTAATAGTTTAAATTTGGATAATTCAAAATATCCAAAACATATTTTTATAAAATTTACTTTTTAGGTTTTAGGTATTCAAATATTTATCTAGGTTATAGATATTATTTCAGTTATCCAAGAAAATTTTCTTGGAATGGCACTTAAAGGAGGTAATTTTCCAATTGTTTCAGGAGTTTCCTCTACAAATGTGAAAAACCAAAAAAGACCAGAGAAAAAACTTGAAAATGTACGAAATGTAGGAGGTATTAGTTAAAATAGTATTACAACCTTCTTTGTCCTATGGACAAGTTTTCTACCGGAAAATTTGCTCCGATTATTACATGCTATAACTTTTCTAAAAGTAAATCGGTGTACAAAGGTATTTAAATAATATCATTTTTTAATTTTCTTAGGAGTTTTCCCAATAAATGGGAAAAACCAGGAAAAACTTGGGAAACCGGTAAAACGGGTAAATATGTACAGTATTAAACAAATATTATTAAAAAAAATTTTTAATGCATATATAATTATTTTACCATTTTATGACTAATATATTGTTGAAAAAGCAAAACTATTAACTGAACTCCGGTCGGAATCGTTTTTTCGTTAGGTGCTTAACAATCATTAATCGTTGATTACAGATATACATTAAATTATCATCTGTATCTTATCTACCCAACATCCCACCTACAACAATGGCCTATCCCCATGCGAAATATGTTCGTTTTTTTTTTTTTTTAATTCAATAAAAAATATTCTTATAGATACTTGTAATGAATTTTAACAGAAACCTTCTATTTGCCTTGTATATAGACAAACAACTTTCAAAACATTTGAGCCATTATAATCCTATTAAACATTTTAATTTTGCGAGTTTTTACGCTATATTTATTCGGTAGGGTACTATGTAGATAATATTATCAGACCAAACAAAAATGCTTGAAAATTTAACTGATTCATCATTAGTCGTACATAATGGTCAACATGAAGAAGTTAAATTTAATGTAAGTAATATTTTTTTTTTTCAAAATTATTTTAATATCAAATTTTGACTAAAATCGTAAATATTACGACCTTTTAAACATGTGTTATCGAACTCCGCTCAGAATCGTTTTTCGTTATCAAAGATTAATCGTTACGTACAGATATACATTAGTACCCCTTTATATTCTACCTTCCCAACTTCTCGTTTTCAACAGTGCCACACCAATCATGCGAAGTTTAAAGGTGTGATTCCTATGCACGTGTCTAGAGACGCGCGGCCGACGCGGCGCGATTTACTTTTAGCCGCGCAGGTACTTTACTTGTTTTTAAATATAACCGATTCTTATGACCGCGGCCGCCGCGCTCGTCGGCCGCGCGGTAACAATCGCTTCGAGAGCAGTCATATCGCACGAGCCGCGCAGTTAATAGCTAAAATATTCATTTTTTTATTTTCAAAGATCGATATTTTTTTAACACTATGTGACAGAATGTCTCCATCAAAATTATCGTTCACAGTAGAAGAAGACATGCAATTTGCTAAATATTTAAGGGAACATCCATGTTTGTATGACCTAAAATATGCTATGTTCAATATATAATTAAATTGATCCCAACTTAATCTGAAAAATTCCCTAAATTTTGTTTAGTTTAATTTGGCCATAAATGTTTTTCAATCAGAACACTGAAAAATCCTTCAGCTTCCTTAGCTAAGTACATTTCATGCACTTCATTTTTATTTTTTGTCAGAACGTATTTTGTAATTGTTTGTTCTTCTTCTACTTGTTGTAATAGAAGTATTTTTAAAATAATTTTTTGTTTTTTTGTTAAGGACATGGTTAATAACAAACTAATAACAATAATAATATTATAAAACACACTTATATGAATAAACAAGTAACCTACAACCTAACCAAACAGAAGCCTTGATACAACTGCGTGTACGTGCCTAATTATTTTAGTGCCGTTAAGCTGCGTTAAGCTGGGCGTCTCCTGACGTGTACATAGGAATCAATAAAGATCGCGCGGCTAAATAAATGACCGCATGGACAAAATTCAAATCACAACGCGTCGACCGCGCATCTCTAGACGCGTGCATAGGAATCACACCTTATGGGTATTATTTCATATTTGGCTGTTTGGAACATAAATGCGATTCATAATATGATTATGCCTAGTCAAAGTATACTCATAAAGTCATAAGTCAAATTATATAGAATACATTTTTATGTATAAATATAATACTTTATAATATGTAAAAACCACCAGGTAATTGAAGTACTCATTATTTGCACAAGACACAAGAGCAACGAGCATAACAAATGTAGTGTATAAAATCCGCGGACGAAAACACGTGAAAAAAATCTTCGTGAACTTTTAAAAAAAAAGCCATCGTTATGTACCTACCGGTCCCGAGGAAGAGGATTAAAGGATAATGTCACTTTTTCCAAACAATACCACTGCAACATTGCCAATAACCTTATGCATGAAACGCTATCCGCTCGTAGTGCTTTAGGACTTAACCGTCAGGGGGAAATAGCGTAAGTGTTGCCAACAAAGAATAACTCTAATACAACGTGCGAATATACGTCGACACCGCAAGATAACGTATAAAGAATAATGGCGGTCACCTAACCTATCAGCTATTCAACCACGCGTACCTACCTATTCGCAGTATACCAAAGGTATAGGCCTCCGTTATACCATGAATAGGTTAGGTTACCGCACGAGTGTTATCGTGACCGGGGACGACCGACGACGGCGGTGGTGGGCCATTTGTCGTCGAGTTTTCTCGTTTTACGCGTGGTTTGCGTAATTTATTATTATTTTATCGTTATTGTTACATATTTATAACCCTACCTCTATCCCATCGTCGACGGTCCCCCGGCGCAGGTCTCATGGCGATCGTATCGCTTCGTTTTCTTATATTATTGCTGCAGTGGTAGCAGACTTTCCTACACGCGCGTCTATAAGTATACTATATTATACAGTCATACAAGGCACCTATAATAATACTACACAGTCGACTTGGCTTTCGCGCGTCATCGTCATCGAAATATTATTATTATTATTATTATTATTATATAGGTGTTGTATGCGGCCGACCGCTAATAAATTGTGTATAATTCACACAGGAGCCGCTCTTCGCGCGTATTATCGTGTGTACGTGTGCTGTGTGCACGCGAGTGTGTATGCGTGCGGTGCGAGCATCGCCGCTGGAAATAACTTACGCGCGCCGCCAGAACGCGACAGCCACCCCTATATTGGGGGATTTTCCCGACGGGGAAAAAAACTGTGGGACCGCACGCAGTTAGTGTCGCGCCACCGTCCGGGAAACACGCGAACGTGCGGCCGCCAGCGTGTTTTCGCGTGTATTGCATCCCGATAATGTAATTTTATTACTTGATTATTATTTTCTTCAACACGTTTTAAAAGACAACGTGTAATTTTTTTTAGATTATACGCAAAAACTATAATATCTTTTTTTTTTTTTTTTTTTGTGTGTGTGTTTCTAAACTAAATCGTTTTCAAACAAGTGTCTCCACCGTGCGTGTACTCAAAATATTATCGATATCATACAATTTACGTGAGTATGGTAATCGTATTTGATCATATTCAGATTCATAATTTAGACAAAAGCACAATACGGAAGCCTTCTGATTTCGTGAGTACATATCATCATAATACAATATTGTATAATTTTATGTCAAAAGGCTAAGTTTCTACAGGAAAAGAACTATTATATTTTATAATATATTTAAAAAAAAAAGATAATGACACGTTTTTTTTTTCTTTTTGGAAAACTATTAGGCGTACTGTCTACTAATAGACATAATATAATAAGGGAATACTAGAAAAAAAAAGAAAACTAGTAAAGGAGCTCCCATCCAATTCGAGCATTTCACAAGTTTCGAATGTTAATAATATTATCAAAGGAGAATAAAAAAATACAGTCAAAGGCATTCGAATTATTTTTCTTATGGGGAGGGGGTTAAAAATATGGGTTGTGTCTATATGTAACTATCTATAGTAATATCATCTATACTTCCTGAGACCCATCTTTACGATACGAGCATGGAGGAAGAGTCGATTCCTCTTTCAGTGTTTTTTTTTTCATCAGTGCTTGAAATAGAAAATCTATTAAACCATAAAACATGATTTTTTTTTTAAATACCTACATAATATGTGTAATTATTTATGTAATTTATGGTCAGTAATGATAATTTTTTTTTTTTATAAAAATGTGAACTGGAGTTACATTGCCTTCATTGCACACCCTTGGATACAAAGTTAACTTAAAAGTAAAACAAAAATTGTATTAAATTGCTGTATACACTATACAGTGTTATCATAGGTTATTAGTTATTACATATCAAATCACACATTATTTGTGCCGTGAATAGTGATAATGTCACAAAACTATAATCAATTTCGACTAGTATTTTTATACTATTATATCAGTTATATTATACGAGTATAACAATGAAATAATATTTATTTGAAATTTGGAATTTTATTCATGAAAAAATAATTAATGAAAATTGAATTTAAATATTTGTTTTTATCATAATATTTTATATATACGTTATTGGGGGACGGGACAAAATGATAACAAAATGATTTGAAGGGGAGTCATCTACCTTCCCTGCTTCCAGCACCAGCGTTACTAAAAATAGTCCAATGAAAACCTGTGGGTTGAAAATATTGTTATAAATATACACGTAAGATATAAGTGAGATTAAATATAGTAAATTTCAAACTCTAATTCTCTCAAAATTATACATTTATAACTAGGTATTACTGTTTCTTTTCCGCAGTAGTACCATGCCAGTGGGTATATTTAATATGATTATATAATAAATAGTACACATTTCACTACTTAGACGTGCGCGAATTTATAATCCTGCTGTATATATTCTGTAATTTATAAACCAATACAATTGATAAAATTTATTAGATTTTCGAAGTTTTTTGTTAGTTATTTTTTAAACAGATTTAAATGGTTTAGTTCGATAATCAAACTAATATACGTATTAAAACTTTACACAAAATGGGTACCGTCAAATGGTCTGAAATTATTGTAAATCTTAATTTATCTACTTTTTAAACTCGTTTACCTATAGCATTTATGAGAACAGTTTTTATTGAACATATATTATTGTCTGTGTATGTGAATTTGAAAAAGTAGATAACAACAGAAACGTGAAAATGCACTAAAACTTTATGCTTCAAATCCGGACTAACCGTGATATTTTACAGAATTGTAGTGAAATAATAAATTAGTATGTAAACAAAATATAGATAGGTACATACTACATAAATAAATTTTGAACATTTTTTAGTATCTCTATGTACATTAAATTTATATATAATATTTTCTTATTCGTAGGTAAAGGTTTTATAAATTTTGGATGTAGAACAAAATCTAAGGTTTTTGTGTATAAACGGTTAATTTCGACTTTTTTATTTTTAATGTAACAATAAAAGAACGACGGTTCCAGATTCACTGCGGCAGTAGTAATAATTCCAAGGGCAAAAAGTTTCATTTTAGAAGTCCCCGGTGTAATTCATTAATGGCCACGGGCATCGCAGAAAAGTTCTTCCTCACCGCCGTCTCCCCGAAAATCCCACAGGAATTATGCGCGTCAACCCGCTATATGCACTGCTTCTTATATTATACATGAGAATAATACCATATTTCTTGGATGCTGTCAATAAAAACCTTTACTTCGATACCTTATATACACGTCCGATTTCATATATATTCTTCGCACACCTCATAAATTTATTACTTTGTCATTGCATTTTGTGTTGCATTTGAATCTAGTTGCTTAGGAAAAAATTCGTCTTCTGATTTTCCCAAAAGTTATAATAACAATTAGAAAAAAACAAAAATGCACGAAAAAGCAAATTGATAAATATATGGTATCACGGTTCATTTTTTTAAATTGTTTACAATTTATGGTATGTTTTCTATCAGAAATATCCCTTTAATAAAAAAAACGACAAGCATTGTTGAAATGCTTGAAAATTTATTAAGACATTAATTTTAAATTGTACTTAGTGGTAAATAAGTTTAGTATAATAATGTATTTTTTTTTTTTTTTTGTTAGATTTTTAATATTAAATTAAATTGTAATAATTACCACCTTGCAAAACATGTATAACCGAACTTTCCTTCAAATTGTTTTTCGTTAGCAATAGTGTAAATAGGTGAGTATAAATATAAATTAAATTCCTCTCCACATCATATCTTCCCAACTCCTCACCTACAACAGTGGCCCATCTATCGTGTAAAATATGTCAGTTTTGTTTTTAAACATAATGATATAATAATAACACTCAAAAATGACAATTTTTTTAATGCTTTTTGTCGTTATTTCGAACTCGCCAAAACGTCAACATGATTCATAAAACCGACCTTTTGTATGTAGTCATTATATAGAATACCGCAAGGACATTAAGGTTACGTACATCGGGCGGGGTCGAGGAGAGTAGGCGACGACCACCATAACTTCTGGGGTATAGTTCAATTAAGGAGCGCGCCTGCGTAAATCCTGTTAATTATTTCGAAAATAAAAATATTCTTTTATATGACTGTCATGTGCACAGCAGATAACTATTAATTACACACTACCGTATTATGTATATATCAATAGATTTATTTAATTATTTTTCAAATATCTAATTTACTATTTTTTAAATTTTGAGTACAACGTAGAACTTAGAAGACAAAATTACTAAGATGTGTTTTTTTTTTTTTTTTGAAAAACAATTTTTCGGTGGATATAATGATTCTATTTTTTACGAAGCATCTACTTTAAAAGACGAAGAACTTTAATCCAGATAGTACTTTATTTAAAACATTTTTCGAAATTCTCATCAGTTCACCAAATTTTTTTTTCTCGAAAAACTTTTTTTGGTTAATAAAAATTATGCAAATAAAATATATGCTTATTTATCATTTAGCAATATTAATTGTTTGAAGAAAATGTCTATTTTCTATCAGCTGTTTAAAAAATTGCAGCAAAACTTTTCATCAGATGTTTCATTTTGTAGTCTATTATAAGTTAAGGGGGTAAGAAAAACTCAAAAACGAAAAGGTATAAATTTGGTTAGAAGTATAATTTTCCGTTTTTTTTATTGCAATTTAAAACAATTTATTAGATATTGAGTGGTTCAAAGAAACGTATGGTTTTACAAAGATTCTCTGAAGAGTTTTCTCATCAAATTTGAAAAACTGAAAAAAACGGAAAAATATAAGAAATGTAGATATTTGTTAAAATATATTACGGCCTTTTTTTTCTGTACACAACTTTTCTACCAGCAATTTTGCTCCAACTTTTAATGATAGCAATGTTTCTTCAAAAAAAATTTTACTATAGAGGTACTTTAAAGAGGTCGTTTTTAGATTTTCCCAAGAGATTTCTCAGCAAATGTGAACATTTGTGATAAAATATAAGAAAACCAGGAACAGCATAGAAAAACTGAGAAAATCGGTACAGCATTAAACAAATATTATCAAAGAAAATATATAAAGTCTATTTTAATTATTATACCATAAAATAATATGCATATTGTTGACAAAGCATCTCTATCAACTGAACTCCACTCAGAATCATTTTTCCGTAAGCAATAATTTATCGTTGCTTACAGGTATAAATTAAATTATTTATAACAATAGCTGCACCCATCCCCATTATTCTAGGACGTCTTTTTTATGTAAAGTGTTTTGTACACTACACAGTGAGTCAGATTACTAATTTAGGTGGACAAAATTGTTTGAACTTTTATCTTACTTTAAATATGTTACTCATTGAGGAAAAAATTTAAAAAAAAAATGTATATATATATACATTTATTTGATTCCAATTGACAAAATTATCTTCCACACCTACTTAAATTATGTTTGTACAAGTCTAGATCAAGTGCATACAAATCAAAATATTTATATTCATATAACATATTAGCATTTAATATTTAAAATATAAATATTTATGTAATATATGAATACTTAATAATATACAACAACATAAATTCAACCCTTATTTGTTTACTTTTTAGGATAATATGACAAGATTAAATAATATTAATATGATAAAATATATAAAAATTTTAAAATTGATTAATTGTACAAAATTATCAAATTACTTTAAAAACATGTAACTAGTTTTTTTATAATTTTCATTCGCATACTACTTTATTATTTACATATTGATATCATAGTGAATATTATTATAATATTTTAATGAATTTTCTTTAATATCATACCTACATACCTTCAGCTTTGTAGTAATAATTATTCGTTAATAGAAAGCTGTCACCAAGTATAACAATTGAAACCTCGAATATATTATAATAAAACGTATTAAAATGTAATTTACATTATTAAGTTTGACGACCTCTTTACAATGCGTAACCATAAAACTGGCATATCACATAACTTGTTCATAATATCGCATCGAAGGGGGAGGGGGGTAAAAATAACTCATTATTTATGACACAATGCAAAATTTATTCACATTAAAAATATATATAATACGTATGTATACAAGCTATCCTACCTGGCTCTGCCCATACAATAAAAAAAGTTTCTCCTCGTGTCCACTAAATAATAAATATTTTTCGTCTTTTTTCGTCGTAATCAGTAAGGTTGTATATGCACTCCTACGTCTATCATAGTTAAAACACGTAATGCATTGAATGTGCTTATGTAACTCCCTACCCCCATTTTTATTAGCCATCCACTCCTACACTTCCCTTTTGCTTCTTCTTTCACTCTAACTTGTCTATCCTTCAATAATATACCATTTACCTACAAAGTTGTAAATTAATGTGTAACAAATTGAAATTGTTGGGTGTGAGCCATTCTACATTTTTACTTTGTTTTTTATTCATACTGTGTAAAGGTAATTTTTTGAGTTTTCTTAAAAATGGGAAAAACTTGAAAAAAACGGGAAGTTTTCGGCAATAACTATTTTATCATTTTCGATGATTTGAGTTTTGACATTAATACTAGTATTATAAAAATTAAATAAAAACATATAGGTACCTACCTTGTTTTAAAATTATTATTATTTAATTATACGGGTTTCTAGATTTCTAGTCGAATAGATAGATGTTCATTAGATAGATGATAATAATATTATAGTCAAACACGAAAAATGTCAATTTAAAGGGGAAATAATAATTCGAAAATGTTGGAGATGGGCTTACAAATTGTCTACTAAACGATGGCATAAACATTTTATTACTAAAATTTACAAGTTACATGGGTAGAGTTGGAGACACATGATTTCTAGTTAAGATTGTAATCACATTACTACAATTATTACAATTGCAACAACAGTTATTTAAGATTTTTTTTTAAATATTTTTAACTGCGAAGAAAGCTTTAAAAAAATGTCAGGAAAACTGTTAACTGTTAAATTTTCACAGTCATGGATTCTGTTATATTATATTTTGTGAAAAATAATCTTAGAGACCGGAAGTTTCACTAAATACTTCTATAAATATAGTCTCTTATATACATATCTTTCCAGACATGGAAATTTTTTAAATCAATGACAGAAAAATGGTTCTCTGTTAGAAAAATTGTCCATGGAAAAAAAAATAAATATCTTTGTAAAACCATAAGCTTTTTCGCTACACTCAAAAATTGTAGTTGAACAAAATAGTATATAATTATTTAATAAGTAAAATAACTAAAATGGTATAAATTATTATGACTTTATAATTTAGTTGTTTGTTATGAAATTGTTTACTATGTTACGGTTAATTTTGTAAAATCGGTTATTTTTATATTTATACTTTTTAGATATAAAAACCGATTTTGTGCTATTTTATTTGAATACTAGAATGTATGAGCCTTTTATTAAACTTAAAAGTAAGAACGTTGTCTGTTTTTGTGCGTCGGTTTTTTTCTCGGCATTTTAATTTTCATATGAGTTACAAACATGTTAAATATTTAAATTTAAAAATCGTCGAATCTAGATTAAAAATTAAAATAAAATAAAATAATGACTTATAATAATTTAAATAAATAAACTTTATTTAAACACTTGTGAACATTATACATAAATTCAGAATCGAGAAAGTACGTGCCTAACACCATGACTTACGAATGCGATACGTCCGTGAAATAAACGGTACACATGTAACAGAATTCAATTAAACCTATCCAACTATTTTGTTGGCCATTTGTTAGACATTGTTGAAAATTATTTACAATTTATTGGATAATTATTAAAAATGTATGTGCAATTATCCAAACGAGCTGCTAAGTTTACACCAATGGCCAAATTTTCACCAAAAATTTAGAAAACCACCCATAACTGTTTAATACGGTTCGTTGGACATTATTGGAAAGGTCCAATTGTTTGTTGGAAATCGGTTTATTTTATACAAGTATTTGAAAAAGTGCCGCTAACTTCATACCTAAGTTTTTCATTATCTAATTCTAAGTATAAAAAAAAGGCTGACATACTTCGCACGATGGGTGCAGCCACTGTTGTTGGTAAAAAGTTGAGAATGTAGAATATAAGGGGAAATTAATTTGTATTTGTAAACAATGATAAATTATTGCTAATGAAAAACGATTCTGAACGGAGATTAGTCGATAGTGATGATTTGTTAGCAATATATATATATATATATATATATATATATGTCTTTTTATGCTAAAATAATTAAATAGGCATTACATATTTTCTTTAATAATATTTGTTCAATACCGTACCGATTTTCCCGGTTTTTCACATTTGCTGAGAAAAATGAAAAATAACCACCGTCAAGTACTTTCCCAGTCCGATTTCAATCAGAAAAAGTATTACACTTAATATTCGGAGCAAGATTTCTGATAAAAATATTTGCACAAAAAATCGAGGGGTATTTGTTGGTTAAAATAGTCCGATCAAACGATAGTTATGTCTTTAAGTAAACTTAAAATGCATTTGTTTTTTCCCTATTTAGATTACAGGAAAAAAATTAGTGTGAACATTTTTTTTCGAATTACAGGTTTTAACTCGTGTACCCTAGGATGATAATAGGTATGAATAGGTATAGTTATTCATATATATTGGGCTATGAACAAGCATACACTTAAAAGGACAATATAGAGTTTTTTTTAACATATATAATATCCGCATAATATCAGAATTTCAAAAAGCTATAATTTCGAAATCTAGTCAATTTAACTTCACCATCGTTCTTAAATCGGCAATAGATAAACACTGTACATTTGTTCAAAATAAAAAAAATGTAAAAATTACATTTATTCCACATAATTTTTTACTTAAACGATTTTCATCAAAATTTTATATTAAAATTCCTTTATAAAAAAAAAAAAATACTGCATTAAACTCAATTTTTTTTTTTTACCCCAAAGTAAGAATCTTAATATGAATCTCCTATTAAATTTTTTGGCTGCACCCGACTCTATTAACCTAAGAGGCTTTTTTGTTTATAAAACTATTACGGCTAACCTATATTTTCGCGTAATTTTATTTAATTCGTACTGTAGGAAATATATAAACGAAAACTAGATTTTTAAATTATACAGATTGTT